AATTTATTATAAAAAGAGGTTCAAGCATATATACAAGATTATATAATAAATTTTAGAATAGTCTAGAACTTTCTGATTAATATTTTTATACTATAAAAGGAATGATCGATATCATACATTTTTGGTAAAATCCCTGACTGTATTAAGAAAGATATATAAGAGATCATAATCAAAGAAAACAAAGTTCTCATTTTTATGATTAATGTTGATATTTGTAGCTTTTTTAAAGTTAAATTAAATGACACATCTTTTGATCTAAAATTGGTAAGTTTCTTCAAAAATGAAGAAAAACATGCAGTTAAAACTGCAAATATATTTAGAAGATAGTTGTATATTAAATTAAAAAGATATTTAAAGATAATATCTTTGATAAGAGTATTAAAATGAATAAATTTTTTTTTAAAAGGTATGGTAGTTTCACAAATTTTATTGAGTATTAAATAAAATAAAATACAAATTAGAAATTTATGAAATCTCATAAGAACTAATCTATGATTAATTAATAGAAGATTCTACTGTTCATCTTCTAAAATTAATCTTAATCTAAATTAAGAATATCATATTTTAGAAAAATAAAACAATAAAGAAAAACAAAAAAGAAAAGAAAAATTTGATGATTTATTAAAAAAAAATTTTTATACTAAGGGTTATTCTATAATATAAAATTTATTGGTTAGTTAGTAGTGAAAAAAAAAGTTATTTAAATGATCAAAAATCTTATAAAGATCAGAAAATATAAAAAGATCAAAAATCTTATCACTTTTATAAGAATAATAGTTGTAAGGGAGTTACAAAAGTAATAAAAAGGATGCTTTATAACAAATTAGCTATAAAGATTAGAGAAAACTAAAAATCCTAAGGGGAATGTTTTAATAAATTAAAAAGGTTTGATAAAACATCAAAATCATTATAAAATTTTGGGAGAATGTTAAGAAGAAAACTGTTTATTGTTTTAGCAATATTGGATAATCTTATGTTAATATATTTTTTGAAATAGTTAAGCATCTCTTCTATAAGATGTCACATCTTATATAAAGTATCAAAAATGAGAGTTCTATCCTCTATAAAAGGAGAATCTAGAGGAGATGTATTAGTTAGAGGTGGAAGTTCAAGTTCTACTTCATCTTTAAAATCTAAAAGAACATCATTAGAGTTAAATGAAGTGTTGATCTTGATTCTATAATTTTCAAGATTAGGTAATTCTTTAACTTGAATATAAGATCTTTTAAAATGATGAAAACTTAAATATATTGAGCAAGTTTTTTTGTCAGGTAATATAATATATAAAGGTTAATCATCAAGTGTGATATTTTTTTCATGAAGTGATCAAGGTCATATTGTGATTCAAAATGTACAAACATGTAGTTGACTCTTAAATTTTTAAAATTACTAATAGGGATTTGCCAATATTTTACATTAAAGGTTGTGAGCATTTTATAAACATCTAGCTTAATTGTATCAGAAGGAAGTTTATTAACTTTTGCTATAAAGGAATATTATTTAATTAACTCATTATTAGAGATAATACACACATAGGATAAAAGTATCCGAACACTATGCAAATTACTAAATTAATTGGGTAAAGTTGGATATAAGTAAACTTTTTTTTTATTAATAAATATAACTTCAGTTTCATAAGTAAAGTTATTCATAATAATATAACACGTGATACATAAAAATTTCAAAGAATTTAAGTAAAAATTGGTCAAACTATAATAATTTAAAATTTATTTTAAAATA